TTGTCCAAACACAAAACCAAAAGAAAATGATCAGAGAAAAACGATCATCAACCAAAAAAAGACTTAACCCCAAACACAAGGAGTTATTAAACCAAACCTTAACCGACGCTTCCAAATTAGACGCAAATGTATAGTCGCCTGCTTCATCCCCTAACATTCTTCCATTTAACATTATTAAATTTTTATCAAGGCAATATTAAAATATTTTCTGACCTCTACCATTCACGCTAACATCCTTGTTACACATACATATCTTACCTCTATTACCAAGATCAATACCAAAAGCATCACCGATGTAGTAAAGGGCAGCATTTTCTTTGCCTACCCGAGCATTAAAGTCACCAAAAATAATCAAATTAGAATCTTCACTAAAGTGAAAATATATATTATACAGATATATTATATATATTAAATAAATATACAGTGGTACCTCAGGATACGAAATTAATCCGTTCCGAAACTGAGATCGTATCATGAAAACGTCGTAAGGTGAATCATTTTTCTTCATACGATTACATGTAAAACCAAATAATTCGTTCCAACACGAAAAACACACTCAAATTAAAGCTAAGTAGTACATAAAAAAATAACGATAGTAAGGAAATCACTGAAAAATGCATTTTGTAGTTGTAAATGTATAAATAACCATAATAGAATAATAATTGATTAAAAAAAAATGTAGTTTTATTTGCACTTTACCTTTGAAGATAGACGATGGTGGAGGTGTAAACTGGTGGCGGAGGAAAGGGAGAAGGGAAATGATACTAAAACTTAACTTACATAACATAATGTAACAATAACTTAAACAAAAAAATTTAAAAATTAGTGTTTATATATATATTTTATTTTTTATTCACTGTTTTTTGCTTTCTTTCCTTCACTTCCATCAGCACTTTCACTGCATAGAGGTTGCTTGGTAAAATATCTATCCAAAGAGGTTTGGCTTTGCCTACTTTTTAAAATGTTTCTAAAATGACTTAGACAAATGTCGATACTAAAACTTAACTTACATAACATAATGTAACAATAACTTAAACAAAAAAATTTAAAAATTAGTGTTTATATATATATTTTATTTTTTATTCACTGTTTTTTGCTTTCTTTCCTTCACTTCCATCAGCACTTTCACTGCATAGAGGTCGCTTGGTAAAATATCTATCCAAAGAGGTTTGGCTTTGCCTACTTTTTAAAATGTTTCTAAAATGACTTAGACAAATGTCGTTACTCTGAGCAGCAATACGGCCAGTGTAAACCTTTTCGGGATGTTTCTTTTCAATAAAATAAGTCACTTTCTGATAATACCTCAAGATTTCCTTTATCCAGCGAGATCCTTCCACGACGAAGCAAACACGCGGACTGAGACCAACGAACAGAAGTGAATAAAAAATGGCGCTGCGAATTAATGTAACGTCGTATGGTGAGTTTTTGTTCGTATCGTGGAGCAAAAATATGTTCGAATTTCATGTCGTATTCTGATAATTTCGTATGCTGGGGCGTTCGTATCCTGAGATACCACTGTATTATACACATAACATCATGTACAAAACTTTCATTCACAATATGTAGCAATATAACAGTTTTAAACATTATAAAAGAGATTCTTGTCTTGAAAATTGTTGAAACTAATATCTGAAATACCATAGTAGAGTTAAAAGCAGAAGGCTGCATATCTGCAGGAAATACCTAATACAGATACGACTGTTCATCACGTAAATACACAATTTTTATGAGTGTACTTTGGAGAACTGATAAAAAAAATAAATAAATTTAATTTAATAGTGAATACCAGTAGTTAAATTATTCATATCGGCAAAACATTAACTCTTATCCGATTCGAGGTGTAGTAGTTATATGTCGTTGAAATTACTTAATATCTTTGAAATTAATTAGCCATGTTCTAGCCCGATAGTTAATCCGGCCTTATCGTTTGATCATTACAATTAAAACTACTTATCTATATTTAAAGGACAAAGTTCAATTTAAAATAGATAAGTAGGGTTTTATTTGATAAGTTTACTTATCTATAAATCTTTGTACTTTGTTTTAACAGTTTAAATCTTCGTCAGCGATTTAAATTATTGCTTCTGTTGTCAAAATATTAACAATTAAAATATAAATAATAATTTAAAATTTAAATAAACTTAAAAATCTTCCTATTATTCATTATAAGATTAAAATCAGGGATCGGCAAACCACAACCTTCGGGCGAAATCCATCCTGTCTTCAAAGGCCTACTAGTTGAGACTGAGTTTAATATTTTTAAACAGTTGAAAAAATAAAAATAAAGTGCTATTTCGTGAAAATACTGTGAAATTTAAATTTGAGTGTCCGTCTAGTTTTATTGGAACAACTGTGCTCGTTGTTTACATATTGTTTGTTGTCAGGATTTGTATGCTTTATGCATATCCTGTTATGCGAAATGTTGTCGGCTCATAACTGTGTTAAAAGATTTGTATGCTTTATGCATACAAATCTTTTAACACAGTTATGAGCCGACATTTCGTATCGCCAAATCTTTTTATTATTTTTATTTTATTTTATTGTTCTTTATTATTAATTACTAATGCATAAGGCACAGTGGATTATGGATTATTTTCGTATCGAATTACATGGTAAAGCATTGTGCTTATAAGTGCTCATAATAACACTATGGTTGAGCTAAAAGAATAATAGGCTATATGTACAGGAAAATTTAGAAAATTTAAAACGGAACATTTCATCACAGCAGAATATCCCCACAAAATCAAAAATAAAATAAAACGTATGTTTCCGAGTGACTCATTAGTTAACAAGCAAGGAAGGAAAGCCGTTTACCTATTGTAAATTAAATTAAGTCGTGTTTGATTACAGCAGCAAAACAAATGTGTATACAAAAAATTGTTTACGATTATTAGCTTATTGGCGAGAACAGTTGTTAGAAGTGTTGAGGACAGTGGGAACAACACCAACAGTCAAATGATTTCGAATTGTTTTCATTGGCTTTTCACGAGTTAACAGATGTTACCGATATTGTTCAGTTGTTATTAAACGTCAGTTTTGTCAGTACTAAATGTAAAGTGTCTGAAGAATCAGCCTCTATGAGTAGTCTGCATGGAATAACCACGAGCGAGAATATTTTTAAAGTTGAAAATACACAAATTTTGATTCATCTCACTTATTAACGCGGCCGGAGCAAGACGATTTGTACTTATACCCAATAATTCTGCTTTCAAACTTACAAGCCAGTTTCTTAAAACTCACAAAATAATAATAAAGTAGTTCGCGTCCAGTGATACATACAAAGATACACGTTTTAGTTTGCATTTTCATACTTATATTACTTACTTACAATATTATGAAAATTAGAATAATCTTACTAATGCTTGACGGAAAAAAAATTCAATTAGACTTTTCTCTTATTTTTACTGATTTAATTAATTCGTATAAAGTTGGACCACTTATACGATTGATATACAGTGGCTTCTCGGTATCTTTAGGAATTGTTTCCAGAACTCCGCGGATGCTCAAGTCCCTTATATAAAATGGCATAGTATTTGCACAAAATCCTCCTCTTGTACCCTTTGAATCTTCCTACATTACTTATAATATCTAATACAATGTAAATCGTTGTTATACTGTATTGTTTAAAGCAGTGGTGGCAAACTTTTTGATTGTGGGACGAATCGCGCGTAGGTCGTAGATAGGCGGGCCACAAACAGTGGCGGATCAAGAAGTCTTTTATTAAATATAGTATTGCGGATGGTCCCTATACTATATTTAATAAAAGATTTTCCCTATACTATATTTTCCACCATAAATGTTGTTTAAAACATCTTGAAATTCGAACAAATAAAATAATTTTTGTGTTAGTCAATGGGAGACCTTAAGACCTGTTTACCTGTCTAACAAGTAAACAGGCCTGACTCGTAATGGGGTTGACTGGTATAAGAAGAAGAAGACTACATCCAAATTTCTACTGTTTGTGATAAATTATAGAGTTCTAGATAGGATTCAAACCAATTCTGTAGCCAGTAATAAAGCATTGGGGAAGGCTACATCAATAAATGAGGACAAGCCGAAAATTGTATAGCCTATAAATATGCCCAGTATTAGTAGGACTGCTCACATTAACATCTTTAAGTTTATCATTTTAATTTTCCAAATTTAGTGTGGGCATATTTAATGTGTTAAAAATAGGTTTAGGTTGTCTGATAGAGTAAGGGACGTGGTTTAGATTCACAATAAAAAATTCGGTAAACACAAGACAAAGAGAACAAGGTTTGGCTAGTATTTTTCTCTTTTCCAGTCAGTAGTATTAGAAGTTCACGTGTAAAAATTTAAGCTTAAGTTTATGTGATGAAAGCGAAAGTACAATCTGTATATGAGCACCGCTGCACTAAGATGGGGAAATATTACATTTAATAGGAGGCTTAGCCATCTCATAGCCCCGTGGCTACGGCACTTGATCCTACTATAGCTAGACTACTAGATCGTGTAGCTGAGCGATTCTGAAATTCGAAATTAATATGACCAACGTATACATTCTCAAAACTTTTATAGTCTGTATAATAAGCTTGTGATTCCATCAGTACTCCTGTAATTTTTAAGAAAATAAACACACATTAACAGATACTCTGTAAACATTTCGAGGACCTTCTGAAACTGGTCTGCGAACCAAATTTTTTCAAATAAAATCTTAATATATTTTCCGTATTTATACATGTACATTCGTAAATCCGTGTTTATTATCACTCGTCATGAGAATGAATAATAAACACTCTTTAAAAAATCAAATTAAAAAAAATCACTGTACTTTTTTACAATGTATTAATGCTAATTTACAAACATCCTGATATTAATTAATCAATAAAAATGCAAAATATTTTAACAATATATATAAACAAACATATTTTATATTTATATTATTTGAAATACGTAACTTTTCTGGCTAAGTTTTTACTATTTAAAACAATTATTTATATATAATTACGCGTGAATTATATATTAGAGTTAGTTAAATAGCTGATTTTTGATTAAGAGGAACATGATTTATAATAACCAATCACTGCTCTCGGTTTAATCCAATGAACAAGAGATAAAATAAATGCTGAACAGTTGCTAAGATTGTACTGATCAGCTCTGAAATGTAAGATAATTCTCTCTTTATAAATCTAATATTTAATTAAATATTTAATTTCGAATCTAATCAAATAGTGTTATTATGTATCAGAAAAATGTTCATATTATCATATATTACAAATATATATATATATATATAATGGATAAATAATGAATGCTCTACAACTTTTTAAGCTAAATTATATTTAAATTAAATATATATTCTCATTAGTTTAGCTAGTTCATTAGTTAATTATTATTTAATTAAATAAAATATTTTAAATTTAATAACATTCATTACTTATAATCTTTAATTACAAATTTCTTAATTTTTTAGTTTATTAAATTCAATAATTTTATTTATAAATACAATTTAATGGTAAAAATAAACATGTCTAGAGTTTTATATATATATATTTTATTCTATAGATACAGGATACATTCAATTTGTATTATGATTATTATATCCTCTTTACAGTCCACAACTTGTAATCTAATTGGAATATAACATTTAAAATATTCTAAAAAGATAAAAATTTTTATAAGTAAATTAAAATACAACAATCAACGAATATATTTTTATCATAATATTGAATATTTGTCCTCATTTTTTCCGATTATATTATTGTAAACGATCCAAAAATGTTATCTTTTTCTTCTAGCTTTTAATCTATAGAAAAATCTTTAATTTGCTCACCAAAAAAAAAACACAAATAAGCATATTTTATTCTTATTTCATCATAAGTATAAGTGAATTATTAAAGTTTCAGCTTATATCTTTTATTTTTATTTGTTAAATGTGTAATATAATTTCAAACAAAATGAATCCATTATTAGAAAAGTTGAAAAGTTTCCTGAATCAGAAAATAAAGAAAACAAATTCAAAAGAATTATTTTAGAAAGTAGCGCATAGAAACTTGATAAGTTATTTTTGTTCAAACTTTTAATAGTTCTGAGTCCAAATAACAAGATTATCTCGGGTTGTTGACTCAATTACTTGGTATTTTCTTTACAATTTTCAGATTATTTTTCCCCCCTTTTTAAATAAATTTTAAGAGAAAATAATGCTTACTATTAAAATCTAACGTTGGCATTTTATAATTAAATTAATCTTTAATTTAAAATATAATAAATATTTAGATAAATCAATTTTAATGTTATCATTAGTTTTTTTTTTATCTGGATAAATTTTGTTGATGTCAACAATAATAAAGAAATGTTGAAATAAAGTAATTAAAAAATATTGTATTGCATGTCAAGCTTGATATGCACTTAAATAATCAGAAAATGCTTTATCTTTTCCTTATCTTCTCGACATGATTACTTGTATAGAATTAACAGTGCGAAGATTAAAAGTTCCTTAAACTTTAGAGGTATGCGAGACTTCTGTATGATTTTGTTTATTAATTTTAAAAATACTATCTATCAGAGAGCTGTGGGTGAGACCACCAAGAAGACGAGGGCCCATTCGACATGATCCATTTGACGTTAATCACAAAGGATGAATTGTTTTTCTCAGTCAAGGGCTAAAGGCTTTTTTTGGGGATGGAAGTTCCGTTCTTTGTGGCAGGAGGGTCCCAACCCGATATTATACAGTTAAAACTATTATTTCCAAAATCAATTTACGTTACTGAACTCGTGGGAAATTAGAATTTCGATTTACAACTAGCTTAATAATTTGGTTTTATAGGAATCAATTGACTTATAACAGCAATGATCTGCTTGACATAGGCCTATATACGTTAATGCAAAGAAAATTTATATTTAATTTGTTCGTCCGTTTGTTTCTAACGCTAAATGCATCCGATTTAACGCTAAATTGGCGGGTGTTAAATCAGGGGCACTCACCCATATCAAATGTTTCACTCACATAAAAGAATCACTTTCAATAAATTCCGATTTAATTACTAGTAAATTAGCTTATTCTAGGGATATATATTTTAAATATTCAAAAATGTAAGAAAAAAATAATAATAAGTGCCGGATTAACATTTCCTAAAGAAAATTGCCTGTTTGTTCGATATCTTATGGCTCTTAATGTCAGAGTGGGAAAATTGATGATGTTTATATAATTTCGGGTAAATTATTGAATTATTAATTAAATTGTATATTTCTTAAGACGTTTTCTAAATAATTAAATGAAGGAATGTATATGGAAAATCTAGAAGTGGTTAATCTCATTGTCTCAGCTCTCAGCTAAACTTTCTACGTGAAGCGAGATCCCGTGAATAAGCAGGATACAGAAGACATTCCAAATGTAGGCCCACAATTTTTTCTGTTGTTGCAAGTGATTTGTGAAACCACGAGTAATTTGCAAGTGATTTGTGAAACCATTATTGCTGAGTAAACCGAGTAAACCATATACAGTGGAACCCCGGTTAACGAACGTCCTGGTTAACGACCAAATCGGTTAACGAACTTTTATTTTGCAAAAATTTTGTCTCGGATAACGAAAGTAACGGTATTTTGTGTTAAATTTTAGTTGGTGTTAGGCATGCGCGAGTTAAGCATTGCTTTTCCCAGTGTTTGTGATATACTTCTTTTTTCAGTTTTGTGATTTATATATTTAATCAATATGGCATCCAAGAAAGAAAAAAATCATAGTGGCAATAGAAAACGACAACGCGCTATCGCATTTGAGAAAAATTTTGATTAAAAGTGTAAGACAATCAACTTTAGATCAATTTCTTGTTCCTTACGAAAAGAGTTTGTTTGTTTAAGTTATGGCAACGCAGCACTTGGACGATCTGCCTAGGGGGAATGCCTTCTGGGAGGTGTTTTTAAGGGAAACTGCTATTTAGGCGTTACAGACGTGGAGAAAACCCGGAAAACTCCACGTGGCCAGCCCGTCTGAGCGAGGTGCGAACCCACAAACGAACTCCCCCTGTTCAAGGTACGAAGACCACTTAGCCACTGGTGGGTTTTTTTACCGAAAGAGACTTCGACTCGAAGAATCTTCCGATGAAGTGCTACCCGTTATTTTTTTTGGAGGGGATTCCCCTTCTAAGCATTAAGGTTCGTATATCTCCACTTTTCTGCCACTAAATACACAAACGAAGGTATGTACAGTGCTAGTTTATTAAACAAAGTTTACATGTTTGTTGCTGTAATGATAGATACTACGTTTTCCTACATTTTCATCAAAGAAAATTACTGTATATTACAAATAAAATCACAAAAATTTCGGAGATTAGAACAGATTAATTGCATTTGCATTAATTTCTATGGGAAAAATTGCTTCGGTTAACGAATAATTCAGTTAACGAACGGAGTCGCGGAACGGATTAAGTTTGTTAACCAGAGTTCCACTGTAGTTTGGACCTGATTGCAAGTTTGAAATAACTCTCAAGATCACAGTATGATTCTCTGGTAACAATGGAGATGTATTATAAAATTTAGCATTGAGCCTTTGCTGTCCCAAGAGTGTGACAATCAATTTTTTGACCCACGATGATACGGATTATCTTTGATTTTGAGGAGGAGGAATATTGCCACTCCTTGCTATATGACCGAGGAATTTTCTAGGACGCTCTACGTTGGACTACTTGTTTAATGATTTTTTTTGTGCATTGTCAATTTAAGCATTTATTTCCAGGAAAATCTCACATCTAAATAAGAACTAGATATGTTTTGTTGTATTATAAGTTATTTAAAGCTTATAATCCTTTTTGTTTTCAATTCTTTTACAATTTCTATTAACTAACTTGTAAGAAAACTAGAGCAGTAATAATATACATAATTTTTCTAGATAAATAATCGATTTGAGAAAGCAATCAACAAAAATGTTGCTTTGGGCAACCCTGGCTATCCTGTTCGTTACAGGGGCCAGTAAGCCTGAAGTTTGTGAAGAACCACCAAAATGGAGTTACAATGGGTTATCAATGATGGATAATTCGCAAGGAAATATCACTTTGATTGCTCTTTTGACAGCTTCTGAACCATTTTGTCTACAACAAGCTGAAAGGTAAATTTTAATTATAAAAATTAAGCATTTTAGTAAATATATATAACCCAGCAGATTTATTTGAATAACGTTAAAGATGTTATAGACCTAAACTTGTACTATACGCACAAATCAAGGAAATTCTTCTTGTATAATTTATTATTTACAAATATTACAGATATTTTACTAGTGTACCACATTGATGCTATTAAATTTTGAAGTAGGCCTACAGAACTCAAGCTAGTGGGAAGATAGAAGGGGTTGTCATATCTCGAGTGGGTTAATTTAATGAAAATGTCACTCGTTATTGGCATTTATAATGTTTTTAAAAGCTCATCTCTACCCTCAAAATTAAGCCACTTTTGCCTTTTATAATAATTAATAATATAAAAGTTATTTTTTAGTAACATCTTGTAACAGATAGCAATACACACAGTTTTAACTTTAAGCTAGTGTCATAGTGTTTTCTTTAAACTTAAATGTTTTCAAATAGAGTTTTTTTTTTATCATAATTCAAACAAAATTACCCATTTTAAGCTTTATTATTTACATTTCATACCGTAGTATAATTGAAAATTATCAGACTTCTTAGTGGTATCCTTAAGCTCCTGTTCCAGCACCAGTAAAAGTCCCTTGACAACTTTTTTTTTAATATAGTTACTACTTTAAATACTATTTAAACATAAAATTTCAAAATTATCAATAACTTAAAAAAAATATATCAAAATTATTTAATAGTTTCTTTTTATTTGTTTTAGACTGGAAGCTCTATTCCAAGATCTTTCTTCCCAAGGTCTAACCAACATAACATTTCTCATAATAAATCAAAAGTCTCTATTAGCAGATTTAATGGTTGATGATTTAGAAAATAAAGTATCATTTCCAGTTTATCAAGACAATGATCATGACAAAATATGGAAGAAACTTGAAGGAGGAAACCAAGACATATACATTTATGATAAGTAAGTTGTTTCAAAATTAAAGGTTTATAAAACAAAAATTGTGAATTAATGCCTTAATAAAAATATTTTACAGATGTGGAAGATTAACATATTACATACCATTTCCCTTCAGTATAATACATCCATCACAACCCGTAGTTGATGCAGCTCTTCGTTCCACATACTTTGAAGAACTTTGTGGCCAATCATGCGATTCCATTTTAGAAAGTGGTGAAATTATTTCTGATTATAACAGATCAATATATCAAAATTATTTAAAAATCAGTGAGGATGAACGTAATACAGTAATTATAAATGTATATATATATATA